TAAGAATTACAATGCAATCTAGATTAATCTCATAGGTTGATCATTCCTAATCTAATTAATCACATGCAAAACTATGTCAACCAATTTAATTGAAACAATTCAATCAATCAAAGATCATCAACTAGCACAAATTATCAATCAAGCATGCTTCCCCTTTTCCCTAACAACTAATCTACTCACTAATCTTGGTGTAACTCAAAAAACAAATCACTAGAATTAGCATTGATCATCATTCTAAATCAAAATCAAGAGGAAAAAATATCAACTACAATATCCAAGGTCTTCTAGCCCGCACCTGCGCCCGCGCCCGCAGTTCTTGGTTGAAATCTACCAATTTGGAGCATATGAGCCCGCGCCCGCGGCCTTCAGTACCCGTGCCCGCGGCAGACTGGCAGGGCTTGATGCCCTCTCTAAGGCCTCTCCATGACCTCTCTGAGCCCTCTCCAAGCCGATTACTTCCTCCTTACTTAGTCAATATAGCCCATCTTGATCCCCTTGCAAAGACAAATCCTAGGTACGTACAAGAACAAACAACGGAAAGGAATAAAAGGGAAAAAGAACCAAATAAAAGGAAAACACGAAGAAAACACGAAAAACACAAGGAAAGGAAGAAAGGAAGGAATTAAAGGAAAAAGGACCAAAAATAAGATAAGAAAGCATAAAAAGGAAGATGAAATCATCCTAAAAGACTACCCAATGAGTTCCATAAATGACACTCATCAAGTCTTTGGGTAAGTCAACAAAGTCCCAGACTTGATTTTTAAACATGGAATCCATTTCAGTTCACATGGCCTCTTGCCATTTAGCGGAGTCGGTGCTTGCCATCGCTTACTTGTAGGTTACCGGCTCATCTCCATCCATGATTAGTATGTCTTGATTCTCGGTTAAAAACAATCCAAGGTATCTATAAGGTTAAGATCTCGGCCTTTAAGACCTTTGTAGGGTAATGGACTGAGCATTTGCATTGTCGGTTTGACTTTGCATATTTTGACCTTCGTCAACTGATGCTGCTTGAGCACTTTGACTGTCATTTTGATATTTTGTTGCTCATCCTCACAAACTTCATCGAGTTTGATTTTCCTCCCACTTGTCATTTTGGAAAGGTGCTCCTTCTCCAAAAAGACACCATCGCGAGCAACAAATACTTTGTTCTCCGATTTTTTATAGAAGTAATGCCCTTTGGTTTCTTTTGGGTAGCCCACAATGTAAACCTTATCAGATGTGGGATGAAGTTTGTCAGAAATCAATTTCTTGACATACACCTTGCATCCCCATATCTTTAGAAAAGTCAACCTTGGAGGTTTGTTCGTCCGTAACTCGTATGGAGTCTTTTCTACAGCTTTTGATGGAGCACGGTTCAATGTTAATGCCGCAGTTAAAAGTGCGTGTCCCCAGAAAGAGATAGGAAGAGCACTAAGACCCATGGTTAATCGTAGCATGTCTAACAAGGATCGATTTCTTCGTTCGGATACTCCGTTCCATTGTGGAGGTATCAGTTTGGAAAGTATACCATGATCTTTTAGATGGTCATCGAATTCTCGGCTCAAGTATTCACCACCTCAATCCGATCGAAGGGCTTTGATTTTCTTGCCAAACTGATTTTCCACTTCACTCTGAAATTCTTTGAACTTGTCATATGATTCAGATTTGTGCGACATTAGGTAGACATAGCCATATCTATTTTAGTCGTCTGTGAAAGTGATGAAATATCAATGTCCTTTTCTTGTGGCGGAGCTCATTAGTCCACATACATCGGTATGTATTAGACTTAATAAGTCACCTGCTCTTTCTCCCAATTTGGAGAATGGATGCTTTATCATCTTGCCTAATAAACATCCTTCGTAGTTCTCAAAAGATTCTAAATCGAAAGAGTCAAGAATGCCTTCTTGATGAAGCTTCTTGATGCTTTGATGTTAATGTGGCTAAGACGACAATGCCACAAGTAAGTTTGATTTGACTCCATGGTTTTAGCTCTTTTGGTATCATAATAAACAATTTTGTCTAAACACACAAAAGTGCCATTTCCATAAATATAATCAAGACATGAAACAAAAGTCTTGTGATCAACGTTAAAATAATGTCCAACGTCACAAGATCAAAGTATGGTAGATACAACTCAACAAGTTTTAGAATTTAGACAAAATACATGAGATTACAAGCTTTCTTTGAAAGATTATCTTCTTCTTCCACTTGTGTACTCATATCCACTTGAAAAGCGCCGCTCACTTTGTTCCTGAAATAGGAGCATAAAGTGAGTCAATTTCCCGGTATCTAATACCTTACAAATTGCTTATATTCAATTGTCAAGATGATACCTGAGATTGAGGCTTCTCTTCCTCTTGCCTCATCTTCCAGATACTCGCTACATTATCTTTTGTAGTGACCTTTCTTACTACAATATAAGCATCGCATTTTAGCCTTGTTCTTGAAATCCTTCTTCTTGGGCCTTAGAGCAAACTTAGCCGCCTTGCAAGAATAGGTTTTCTGGAGCTCTTGGACAACTTCCTTGTAGGACAGTTTGTTAAGATTGTTGGTAAGTTCCATCTTAATTGCAACGTACCCTGAATGGAGTGTGCTTAAAATCATATGAGCCGCTTGCTCATCTTCCACCGGTCTACCAATCAATTCCAGATGGTTATATAACCTTGTCATTTTTTGCACATGGGCTTGAAGTGGCATCCCGGGTCTAAGTCTTGCACTATAGACCTTTATAGTTGTAAAATGCATGGGCCATTTACAAATAGTGAATGGATGAATGGAATGTATATTCTATCACTATTTTATAAAAATGGCACTAATGGGGCCCGATTAGGATAGAAAATACAGACTGCGATCCGTAATGTATTTTTGTAAATCTAAATACGGTATGCGTACCGTTGAGTATTTTTGTACCTTAATATTTAGATTAGTCCTAATCGTATATACTAGTATTGCATAGTTATGGTCAAGTATTGAAGACAGAGGTTCTTGGAAGACAAAGCTATGAAGTTGCAAAAGAAGACCTTTTGAAGACTTGAAGAGTTCAAGGGGTCATGCTAGTTGCTAATATGCATTAAAATGCTTATGCTTTATATATTCATGATTATTTATATATGAATTATATGTTAGATGCATGTTTAGGATTTTGAATGTTGTGATGATTAATTAAGTTCACTTAAATCAACCAACATAGAAACCCTAATTCCCTAAATATTGAGTAAAATTGCCATTCTAGAACAACACTTATCGACCTATTAAGAGTAGTGATGGGCTACGGCAAAGCGAGGCATCAATACTATTCCCTAGACTCATAAGGCATACCGGGAATGCAAGTTGGTTTTGGTTGTACTCAACGATATGAGTGATGGAGTCCTAACATGTTGTGGCAAAGTGGATAAATTGTTGAGAGAGCATTAGATGCGACGATTTATTAAACCAAGAGTGGCTTAGAGCCATTAGCAAAGCGTTGCTTACCTTGGGAGATTCAGTGCTAAGACAGGCCAAAGCATGCTTAGCCACTCTTTGTTTCCTTGGATCTTGGAATCGACTTATTTTCACTAAAAGGGGACAAATTGTAAGTGTGAATAAGACGTTAAATAAGTTTGAAATATGCATGAATTAAATTCAATCTTATTTAAGTATTATGAATGGTTTTTCATTATAATTCTTTCAATTGTAGAATCATGTCTTCAACTATCGACAATAATCTAATATTCCCAGAACTTCCCGAGAAGTTACCATTTAGCTTGAATTTTGTAAACTTCAAGGAATGGGAAGAAGAACTCAGTTTGACCCTCCGCAATTGCTACCTAGAGTATATCTTGGATACACCCATTCCGAGTTTCTACTCAAAAGGGGTTATGAGTGATGATCCTCATGAGGAGTGGAGTTATGATTGCAAGAGAGTCTCTCGACTCATGGAAAACTCCATTCCGGAAAAGTGGAAGAAGAAATTCTCCAACTACCTTCCGGATGTACTCCTCAAGGCTCTAGAAGATGTGGCAATCTGAGGGTCACAAAGAGCGACAGGGGCAACTATGATAGACTTGTGGAAGAAGTGACTAGGTCACTGTCTAACATAAGGATCAAGCCACCGCAAGATGGGTGTCTCAGCAAAGAGAGGTAAGAAGTTATTTCACAATAAGCAATGAACATTATGTGATATTTAAAAGTACATTACAATGACAATAAAAAAAACATGAACATGTTATTTTCACTCTTTTTTGGTGCAAATATGTTGTTCTTTATACTCTAGGTATATGTTCATTACATTAAATTTTTAATAGTATTTTTTTTCACTATAAATATATGTTCATTACATTTTTATAATATTATTATTTTAACTTTTTTTTAATGAAATTAAACGTCTGTAGAATGTGCATCATACAGACGTCTGCACGAACCACTCACTGATTATGATGAAAAAGATCACGCTCAATCCCTCCCTTTAATTGAGGAGTGAATTGTTTGAATTTTTTTTTGAAAGCTACATCGCTTTGTTTGGGTGCACGACCACCCAAATGTACTCCGTACCATGTAAATTTCAATTCCTGTATGTACTACAAAATGTTATATTAAGATGGTAAGGTATTATTGTAGTTGATCCTTAGCTTATTGGTATATTTTGTCTCAGCGTACGACTTTCTCCCATTAGGACTCCAAGGTGTCATAGATAAAATACGCTCCTTATGCAAAGATTACGTCCAAGCCTAAGATAAATTTTGTGCATTCATAAATTCTTGATTAAGGCGGACTTTTATCAAGTTATTGTAAGGTCTTGTTCACTTCAGCTTAAACAATATTAAGTAAAATAATTTCAGTTTAGTAAAATATTTGAATTCAGTTTAAATAAGTTCATTTCAGCTAAAAATAATTCCAGTTCAGTAAAAATAATTTCAGTTAGACAAAATCAGTATTTTTAAAGAAGAAGCATAATAGAGAATCTGTAAAAAAAAAAAAAATTTAATCAGCAAAACTAATTTCAATTCACTAAAAATAATTTCAATACGGTAAAAATAACATAAATTAAGCAAAAATAAGTTAAGTTTAGTAAAATGAACTTCAGTTCATAAAAAATAAGGTGAAATGAACAAGGTCTAAGACGGGTTGAAGTTACTCTAAAAATATTTAAAGTTACCCTTTTATACAAAATAATTTATCATTTTATAACAAAAACTTTACCCTCTTAAAAAATACTTACCTCTATTAATTTTTTTAGTTGACACGTGTTCCTTTTAAGTAGGGGTACTAAAAAAAACCCGATCCGATGACCCGTTCAATATCCGATGGGAAATTTAGGAAAATTGCCTGTTATCCAGGTCGGGACATGGACCGCATTTTTTAATTATCGGGTACCCGCTTACCCGATAATAACTTAATCTCTACATAAAAAAAAAACTCTCCCTCAAACTGAGCCCAACCCATTTAGAGTTTAGACATCCAATTAGGGTTCTCTCTCTTCGTATCGTATTTCTAACATTTGGTCCAAAAAAAAACCATAGTAAATCTCCCAACACTTGTCCACGGATCTTTCTCCTAGATCTGCAATCCCACAGTACACCAATTCCATCTCCCCCAATTCATGACCATTCATCTGAATCAATCCAATCGACGAGTTTAACAAGTCAGTGACTCAGCCATGGCGAACATCTCCGGCTTGGTGTCGATTCGAGTCCCCTACAAACACCTCAAGCAAGCTGCTGAGGTTAAATTGGTAGATTTTGATCATAATTCGCTGGAAAATCATTCACCTGCATTTGTCGGATTTGAGATCGAAGAAGTATAGTTTGCTGAAATTGATACTGAGTTGTACGGTTGCCGTCGGTGTTCAGTTTGGTTGGGCGCTTTAGCTTTCTCTTCTCACTCCATACATTAAGGTCTTTTTTTTTTCTTAATTGTTGTTATAAATTCAATGCAAAGCTATTTTATATCATAATTGTGTGATTTTTATGTGAATTTATGTCCCGGGTACCCTATATCCCGACCCAAATAATCCGGGTACCCGAGATATTCAGATCGGGGCATAGGCCAAATTAACAACTACCCGAAACTCCGGGTAACCGTATTTTCCGGTAATCGAAAACCCGAGTACCTGGATTTGAACACCCCTACTATTAAGGAAGTTTATTTTTAGTTGATACGTTTTCTTTTTGAGTAAGTTTTACACATTGCATACATTAGTATACCCCACTTGTTTTGTCATTCTCTCTAATTCTCTTGCCTCTCAGTAATATGTGTACTTAAATTGAACATGTCAACTAAATAGAAACGAAGGAAGTACTTAAAAAGTATTTGATTAAGCGTATTAGCCTTCAAATCATGTATTTATTTGAATTTTTTTTAATAAATGTATTTATGAGAAATTACATTAAATACAATCAAACCTATAAAAATTAAGAGTTAATCTTAAAGGGTTTAAAAATACAACAAAAATTATTAATGTTTCCCTAAAACGGATCGCCTTACAATAAAATAACGTAAATTACACAAATCTTATTAGTGTGAACATTATATAATTATTTTTTAGGTTTCTTAACATAGGTAGGTCTCACATTATAACCCCTATATATAATGATTAATGGAATTTTTTTCTAATTGAGGGGTTTCATAATATCTAAAAGTATTTTTTGAATAGACTAAGGACCTGTTCTTTTCAGCTTAATTTCTGTTCAATTCAGTTAAGCTCCATTTAGTTCGGTTAATAAGTTCTATTCAGTTCAGCTATAACTAGTTTTGTTCAGTTCAACTCTTTTGCTATTTTTTATTTTATTTTATATGATTTAGCTAATGATATTCTTAATGACAATTTAGGTTTGGTGGGTCGATCTATTTAAGTTCCTCTTTATTTCTAATGATATTGATAATGATAATTAAAGTTAACATTTATACTTTTTAGCATATATTACTCCCTCATTTTGCATTAAATGCAACAGTAGGCTTGATTCATAGTTTAAGAAAATTATAAAATGGACTTATAGGCTTATAATATAAAAGTATTAGAAAAAATTGTGAAGAACTACCCACTGAATAGATCATTTTGTCAACAACTAATCACTTAAAATTTTGCCTAAACCTATAAAAGCACCAAGTTCATTTTTTTATACCCTCCTTATGAACAGTGTGCTGTCCATTTTGCCCTTATATTTGAAATTGAAATCCTTATGAATAGTGTGCTTCCCGATTTACCCTCAAAAATATGTCATGTGGTGCTACAATAATTCACTGCCCAATAAATTGCGCCTGATTTTGTATCAAGCTTTTCTTTATCAATAGCGTGATTCCTGAAATGCCCTTAAACATTTGTGCATGTGAGGGCTTATGTGGGCCCTCAGAATATGCAAAATGTTTTCCCCAGACACGTGTGAAGTCAGCTTTCTTCTTCTTGAGCTTGACAATGGAGCTCATTTACAATTCAATGCTGTTTTTTTTTGGGCCGTAATTGCTGAGATGAGTTGGTAGTTGATCTTGGAATAGTTATTTTTTTGCGAAAAAGCTGAATTTATTTGGAACTTCATTTTGGGCGCAATTTTGTTATTTCCATGTACATGGAGTGCATTTGTATACTGCGAATTGATGCTTGCTGAGAAATTGGTGAAGTGACTTTGAGCTTATTCCAGGAAAATTTTGGAGCTGTATTTGCTGAATATAGTTGTGATCTTATTGTGAGTGTTATTCTAGGACTTGTAAATTTATGGAGTCCATGCTCATGCCGCTTATTGGTACTTGCGCAGCTTCTTGGTTATTCGTTTTGAATTTCATTGACTGTTAAGTTTTTTCAAGTGCCTTATTAGCTGTTGCTTGTAAATTTAATTAGCGAAGCATATGTGCATGTGTTTTATTAAGACATAGACAATGCTTTATTAGGTGTTACTCTCCATATGCGAATTAGTAAAGTACGAGCTGATTATATGGTTTTAAATCGTTTAGCAATGTTATTAGTTTTAAAATGGGTGATCTTGTTAAGTTTTGCCCTTTTTTATAATAATAAGGTGATGTGGCTATTCAATTAATTACTTTAAGTTGATGTGGCTATTCAATTAATAACTTTGTATAAATAGTTTTGATGCTTTTACTTCGGTTGTTTAACAGAACGTTCTTTGGACCGATGGATTTTAGATGGCAAGTTTGCTTGGGTTTTGATGCTGAAACACTGCATTACACACCGGTCTATCTTAGTTTATAATGGGTAAGAGCAGTACTCTTATTAAAAAAGTGTCTACGTTTTGGGAAGTGGGTCTGGCTGCTTGTTTATTGATAATGATATTTGTAAGGATGTCATTAGATGTGGCGCATGTTTACTTTATTGTAAGATTTAGTTGGTGTACTCAATTGCCTGTTGTGTTTTACTTCAACTTTGTTTTACTTGTTTTGTCTTCTACTGCTTTGTAGCCTAATAAATAGAGGGGGTTTTATTTGGTTTCTGCATATGCAACATATACAAACCAAAGTCCATGGAGATTACATTAGAGGTAATGCAAAATGCAGATGTAGGTTTCTCTGGTTATTAGTCAAGAACATCACAACATACAACTTCTTACTATGAAAACAGAACATTTAATAACTTGCTTTGGAACACTGATCTTAAATTATGTACACTGAAGAATAGTTACTTTAACTTGGTATGGTATCCTATCTTTGTGATTCACTGATCATTAACTATGCAAAAAAAAAAAAAAAAAAAAGAATTACTGGACTTGCAGATACTGACTTATAGATTTATTTCTTCTCTGATGATCATATTGAGATATTGATTGCTTAGTTTGAGTTGGTATGCTATCCTAGCTTTGTGATTTACTGATTATGAACTATATACAAAAAATTGAACTAATGGACTTGCAGATGCTGACTCACAGATCTATTTATTCTTTAATGATCATATTGGGATATTTATTGGCTAATTAACTTTGCTGTTCTTTACAGATAATGAGTATGTGGGCTCCAAATTTTCTACCATAGGTTTATTGAATGCATTTTGTGTTGCTAGTAGTATCTGAGTTTTGATGGGTTAACATGGGTTCACTAAGCAACACTGAAAATTTCAGATTTGGGTACATTAATTGTGTTTAGGTTTAAATAGCTTGTTTTGGGTTCTTACATCATAGCATCGTCAAAGTAATGGAGTATTTGCTTGTTTGGTAAAGTGCTGATTTATTTTTTCTTTTTGGTTTTTGCCTTCTCTTGTGCAGAGTTATGAGCTTGCAATGGTTGCAGATGAAGTTCCTGATGTAAGTGTTTCTGAAAACTGGTTATGGTTATTTGGTTTGGCTCATGTGTTAGTTTAGTTGTGTTTAATACTATTGCTGAATTTTCCATGTTCATTGCACAATGTTTGCCCTGGTTAATTATGCTAGCTAAATATCTTGTATGGATTTTGTTGTTGCAGTAGCTGTTTGCTATATCAGTCATATTTATTTAAAAAAATTTGTTTGTTACATGCCTTAATTAGCTCGGTAAATTCACTATATGTTATGCCAGTATTATTTGCTTTTCTTCTTTGCTGAACTATGTTGCATGTTTTTAGTTGCTTGTTAGGTCAATATATATATAAGATAGCAGGCTTGGTTATTAAAATGAGATACCTGCTACAACTTTAGTATAATATCATCTCCTTGGATGCCTTTATGAATCGCTTACTTGCTTATGTGATTATGGTTTGGGTTTAGAATTATTCCTTCCTTGTTAAATATATTACCCTTTTCCTACACATAGCTAGGGTTATTAGATTTCTAAGATAAAATTGGTTCCATACATATCTTTCTCATGCCATGGGTGTGCACACAGGTGGGCGGGCATGAAACTCGGAAAGTTTCTATTTCTTTTTCCCGCCTCCTGCACCAGGTTGTTGAGTACCTGAAACTTCCTCTGCCAGCTTACTATTTGGCGGATGTGGGAAAGAATGCTGTGAAGGTTGTCATGGAGACTGATCCAGGCTTGGGTCCTGATGTGTACGAGGGTGGTCAAGCTGCAACAGTTAGGGAATCTCGTGAACAGGCTGCTGAAAATGTTGTTCATTCCCTTCGTATGGAATTTAGCATTCAGGTTGAAGACCTAACTGCTAAGAAAATCAATAGGCTTGAGCGCGCTGAGTTTCTATGTCAGATGAAACGTATTAAGCTAGAAGCAATGGAAAGAGGAGTAGGGCAAGTTCCAGTGAAGTGGCCAGCTGTGCCTGATCACAAGCGTCGCAAGAAATTTGTGTGCATTGATTACATGGATGTTTTGCACACATTATCTTTGGAAACCAAAGTGCGTATTTCGAAAGTTGACAACTTTAATGTTGGTCCTGGGAAATTTATATCATGGGTTACAATTTACGGATCTTCAGTTGCTACTGGAATGGAGTTTTTTTAATGTTGTGCGTGCTGACTCGAAAGCAACCAAACAAGATGCAGCTAGGAAGGCTGTTGATTTCATACGCACTGCATACAATCTTGACATAGTTGATCTGAACTATGGGAATGGGATTTATGCTGGCATAAAGTGTTCCTTAGCTAGAGAGAGCTACTTAGCAGCTAAGGAGCGTATGTTGGGGATTCATGGCGCTCTTCAATAAGCTCCTTTTTTAGTCGAGGAAGGTTGTGTTACACCTAGGTCTACTGTCCATAGGATTGTAACACCTACTCTTCCTCCACCTCCACCTCACAAGCCAAAAGCAAGGCCATCTTTTAGTGCTCGCTATAGTGAGCTGCCCTCACCGGCCCCAGTTGAGTTGGACAGTTTTTTCAAGCGTAGAAAATTTGATTAGTGTGCAACTGCATTTCACATAGAGCCCTAGCTTTGCACTTTTATTTTTTTTTCTTTTTGCTTTGTTTGTTTAAGATTTTAGAGTTATGGTGTAATACCATTTTCCTGTACTTGTGTTTCAAGTTAGTTGAAGCTGCACTATCTGTATATGTAATTGGCAAGAAATGCTATACTGCTATTCCTAAGTACGATGTATTTCATATTTTTGTGCTTGATTAATGAAATACACTTCTCTTACCATGCTTCAGATTACTAGAATGCATATTTTTTTGATAACCAGAATATTTTTATTTAACACTTTTCTGCCAGTGTCTTTGCGGTTTACTGAACCGTTATACACAGTCACTAGTTCTGGCCAAAATAAGTGCCTAATTTTACCATTATGCATTTCTTCCCAATCACAGGTTTAATTAGGTGCACCGCTGCCATTAAATTCAGTTTGCCTACAGCCAACCTGTAGATTCAGTTGTTGGTGTTAGACTGAGCTGATATTACTATCATAAGTAAATTCACTATCTCTTTCTGTTTTTGACTGTTTTCTATATACCTACACCATCTTATTAATTGAACAATGTCGCCTAGAATCAAGCCTCATTTTGTTAAATTTGAAGGCCTTTACATTGTATTCCAGATCGATGCTTAGCTGCTAAGAAAGGTCCTCCAAAAACTAGGAATAGCAAACTTTTACAAGGCTTATAGGCTTTATCTCAGACACCTGTTTCAATAAGGTGCTTATTTGTTGTTATGATTGCAGATGCACATTGCTTATTTATACATTTTTTTATTCACCCTCTTCTTTTCGTTTGTTTAATTCGCTTATTCACTTTTGTCGCACAGAGAGCCTAATGAGCCAGAATCGGCTAGAAATGAAAAACAGGATCGTGTAAACATTCAGTCGGGACTTATCAATATAGGGAATGCTGGCAATCAACCGTGTACCGAATCAGTAGGCAGAATTAATGGTGAGCATGATTATATTTATTTTGTATAAGCATTATGGCTTAAAAAGTATAAAGATATTAAGCTAATTTTTTTACTACACTCTAAATAGATGTTCCTAACTACTCTTTGCAAGCTTGACTGCTGCATAACTTTAGTGCTGCATTTAAATAACATAGTATTTTGGTTACAGGCCTAAATATCTTGCATATTGATGCAGTTGAAGCAAACAATACACAGGTGGATGGTCAAGATATTGGAAGGCCACTTTCAGACCAGTGCATGTTGTATCAGAAGAGTACGAACCACCCAAGAACTAGAAAGCACAAACAAGCAATCGCTTCTATGTCTGAACCACCTACTCCTATAAGGTGTTTCCACTTTCCTTTGTGACCACAACACATATTTATTTCTATTAAATAGTTAAGAGCAATAGTTCACTTACATTTTTGGCTGCTGCACATATAGGGAAATAGGTGAAATGAGTTAGCAAGGCAGAACAAGAAACCAAAACTTAAAGAAATCACAAGCTAGGAAAACTAGTAAGTGTGCATGGTATAAATCAGAAAAACATATCATCTTGATTGAATAATAACCAGATCAGTTTTGCATCAAGATCTAAAACTAAAAATATTCATATGTATATAAAGTAGCAACATCTGAAAAAGCTTTCAGCATAACAATCAGAAAATAAAATTCAGACCACACAATTTCCTAGCAACATCAATATCATTACAACCAAATTTCATAATCAAGCCATTAACATGAGCATCCTCATTAGATTCTTCTTTGGTATATTATCCCCACCACAGGTGACGAATTACTATATCACTCTTCATTCTCGCCTTCAACAATATCATTTTTCACATCTTCCTTAGCTATTCCAGCACCTTCACCATTAACAGTAATCATATCACAGCACCTTCATCACGTTCTGTGTTCAACATTTTGGTCTTCCCTGCCTGCACCACAGGCACAAACTCACTAGCATGACTTGCAACATTCTTTCAAGCTCTTTTTCCTTCACCAAAACTCCTGATTTCCAATATCTCATTTGGCAGATCATCTAATTTCCTCTTTAGCTTGGTAATCCTCTTCCCTACATCAAAATGAATAGAAATTGCATTAGCTAATTTGACCTGTAAATTACCTTCCCTTAGCTCCAGCACTCGAAGTCTAGCTTGAATATCACGCTTCTGCACTGCTGAAAATTTATCCCCATTTCCTCCCATATTTAATTTTTACCTTAAAAAAAACAAACCTGTAAAATAATCAAAAGGTTTAGGATAATTTACAATATTACTCTTACCATCTCCTTAAAAACTACAAATCACAATGGCCTCTTCTCTTTTATAAAGAGTTGGCCTCCTGTCGTCTAAAATTGTCACTATCTTGTTAAATAGGGAAAAGAAAGGCTAGGCAATATTAACATACAATTACTCAACAACAATGAAACCTATATTAGATGCTAAAAGCTAAGAACATCATAATCTTTTTTTTTCTAGAAAGTAATTATTTCACATTTTTTTTAAAAGCTAAGAATTGAGTATGGGAGGAAGTGCATATTTTACAGGTTTGTTTTAAAAGTAAAGTACCAAGTATTTATTGCAAGAGAAAGAAAGTAATAAACACTTAAGTACTCATTGCCCATAAGACAAAAGGTTGTCACATAAATACTATATATAGGTAGTGACCACTAATTAATGCTAGCTTACCAACAAAACTGTATAGAAACATAAAAATGAATCTTGGCTTAGTGGAATTTTTTTTACCTGTAATAAACTTATCAATCAAATTATGAGTAAGCATTTGTTTCTAATGATATACTGCCTGCTGAGTTAGTTCTTAATGCCTGAACTCTTAAAGATTGATTTTGAAATTCCCATATCACGGAAGCAGCTACTGTTCCTTCTCAAAAGCGGGTGATGAAACAACCTACTGCTAAAAAAACAAGTAAGCTTTGCTGACCATATTTACTTAAACGCTTGTTTTGCATTGTAACATACTAATAAATTGATGCGGTGTTCACTGGATGGATAGCAGAACCTCCTGTTGCTATGGTCGGCCTAAAATTACCTGTTGCTTCTTTGAAGCTCAAACCACCTCAGTATTGTAAGCACTGTAATGCAAAAAAATTCCAACACGAATCACTTCATTTCTGTTGTGGAAATGGATCTATTGCATTAGTCACTAATGATTATCCTCCTGCATTATATAGACTTTTAACATCTGATGACGATGATGCACTGCACTTTAGACAATATATCCGTTTATATAATAAATTATTTGCATTTAGCTCTTTGGGTGGAAAATATGATTTAGATACACAAAAAGGAATTTATGTCTTTAAATTGGATGGTCAAATTTATCATAACTTGCCTGATTTAATCCTTGGTGATGAAGGTCCTAAATATTTGCAACTTTATTTTTATGATGGCCAATTTGAAGAAGCTGCTAGGGCAGACTGCTTTAAACAAATTAGACAACATATTATCAACATACTTATGGAGGTGACGGAGCATAATCCGTACGCTCGGTTTTTTAGATCTTTGAGAGAAATTGATATCTAGAAAGACACACAAATTCTCATTAACAAAAACACTATTGTAGTCCAGCGAGTTTATAATGCTCCTACAACAGATGAAGTAGCTGTAATCTGGCCTGATAATACATCGTCAAGCGAGTCCAAGAGCCCATACATTGTAATAAGAGGAAGATCAAACGATTCTCATCGTATATACCATAATTACGGATGCTATGATCCTCTGTAGTACCCGCTCTTATTTCCTTATGGTGATTGTGGTTGGAGTCAAGGTATGACAAAAAACAATTGTGCATCTCAGAAGCAAATAAACTCTGCTATGTCTTCTACAATACATACAGAGGAAGATGTGCTTGAACAAGAAGCAAGCCATAAGATTCAAAACTCAGTAACAACTTTGCTTCTTTTGATCATAACTCTTTTCCCTTCACTATATGCCTTACCTGACATACATTGCAACCACACTGATTTAAGGCTTAGCAGATGCAAGCGGTAGTTCAGCTAGGCATATTTCGCCTCGTGAATATTATGCTTACAAGCTGCAGTCCCGTCCAAATAACATGTTTCTTCAGGCAGGCCGGTGTCCTCAGCAATATATAGTCGATATGTATGTGAAAATTGAAAATACTCGATTAGACTTTTTCCAGCACAATCAGCAGGCAATCAAAGCTGATTTGTACCAAGGGATCTTAGACTCAATTGAGAATGGTGAACTAATCCCATAAATGTAGTCCGACAAGTTATATTACCACCGACTTTTATTGGTGGTCCAAGTGACATGAAGCGCCGTTACTTAAACACAATGGCTTTAGTGCAGCGCTTTGGTAAGCCTGATTTGTTTGTCACAATGACCTGCAATGCAAACTGGTCAGAGATCAAAGCAAAATTGGCTCCTAGGGAAGCAGCTCAAAATCGACCAGATCTTGTTGCTCGTAATTTCCGGTCTAAACTGGTTTGCTTGAAAAAGCAAATAATGAAGAAACATATCTTTGGAAAAGTTGCAGCTATGATATATGTGGTTGAATTTCAAAAAAAGGGTATTCCTCATGCACACTTCCTTATTATCTTAAAACCAAGTTACAAAATCAAAAACCCATCAGATTTTGATCGCTTTGTCTCTGCAGAATTACACCCCCCACAGCTCTCCAACACTCCGGAAAATTATAGTCCGGCATATGATGCATGGGCCATGTGGAGAAATTAATCTTGATTGTGCATGTATGACTCCAAAGCACAATAGTCCTTTGTCTTGTAAATATGACTATCCAAAAAACTTTTTAGAAGAAACAACAAACCCCGATGATGGATATCCCATGTACAAAAGAAGGGATACGGGAAAAAGTGTCCAAATTCGGGGTGCAAGCCCTGATAATCGCTGGTTCATTCCATACAATCCATACCTTTCTATGTTATTTGATTTCCATTTGAATGTAGAAGTATGCTCATCTATTAAGGTTGTGAAGTATCTATACAAGTATGTCTACAAAGGCCATGACATAGTTTCTTTCAATGTTGTTGGCAGAGAAAATAATTCTGAAGATTAAATAGAAAGGTTTTAGTCTGGTCGATGGGTATCTCCATGTGAGGCAGCTTCGAGAATTTTTTTTCCTTTGACCTTTTTGAGATGCACCCTCCTGTGCAACAATTGGTTGTGCACTTGGAAAAAATGCAAACAATTTAGTTACGGGCTCATGAACAACTAGATTCTGCTGTTCTGAATGATCTTAGTTTCAAAACTCAATTGACAGAATTTTTCAAGGCAAATGCAACCTCTCATTAAGGTACAAGATACCTTTACAGTGAATTTATGGAGCACAACATATGGGATGCTAGTAAGAAAGTGTGGTTTCAAAGGCGAAATAAGAAACTTGTGGTTGGTCAGCTGGCAAGTGTTAAACCAGAAGAAGGAGAACGATTCTTCCTGTGACTACTGCTGATAAATGTACGCAGTCCTAAATCATTTACTAATCTTCAAACTATTAATGGATTAATTTGTGCCACTTTTAAAGAAGCAGCTATTAAAAGAGGTCTATGTGAAGAAGGCAATGTAGTTCATTCATGTTTGGCTGAAGCAGCAGAAATTCACTTGCCAGCAGCCTTAAGCCGCTTATTTGCAGCTGTTCTAGAAATGCTTATGTTCAAGTTCTAGAAATGTATTTTGCACCCCCTGCAACCCCAATAGACTTTGGCAGCGATTCTATAATGATCTATCTGTTGATTACAAACATGCCAATCCTCAGAATGAAGTCTGTGTTAGGTTGCAAACTATACAGTCAATCGAACGCCATTTAGAGTCTATGGGAAAATCATTAGCTCATTTCCAACTTGACCACTTACATGAAGAGGTGCCAGAAGAGCTCAACAAAACTAAAGACATCATTGATGCTTTAGATGCACCTATTCCTCAAAAGTGCGTTGACTGTAGAGGCAAACTTAACTCAGCTTAACAAATTGCATTTAATAGAATTATTTCTCAAGTCGAATCAGGAAAGCATGGCTGTTTCTTCGTTGACGGTCCTGGGGGAACTGGTAAAACATTTTTATACAATGCCTTATATGTGGAAGTGCGCATGACAGGGAAGATTGTTCTTCCAACAGCAACATCAGGCATTGCTGCAGCAAACATACCTTCTGGGAGGACAGCGTACTCGAGGTTTAAAATTCCTCTAGTTTCAGAAACATCTCTTGCTTGTGACGTTCCTAAACAAGGCAGCTTAGCTGCTTTAATAAAAGAAACAACTCTGATTATTTGGGATGAAGCTTCAATGGCAAAAAAAGAAAACATTGAATCAGTTGAGCTTTTTCTACGTGATCTTTGTGACTTAGAACAACGATTTGGTGGGAAGTTTGTAGTATTTTGGGGAGATTTTAGGCAGCATCTGCCGGTTGTTCCTCCCAAAACTCAAAGAGAAGCTGTTGTAGCAAGCCTGGTAAACTCACATATATGGCCTTGGCTAGAAAAGTTACACCTTACTAAAAACATCAGAGCAAGAGAGGATCTCCCATATGAATCATTTTTACTGAGTTTGGGCAATGCCAGCTACAGTCTACTAGAAATGCTTATTTTCAAGTTCCTCCTCACATTGTGATTTATTATCATGAAGGCGATGATCCTATCAATCACCTAGCTGCTACTACATTCCCAGAGTTAGAGCATGAAAATTTTTCACCAGATATCTTCGCAAAGAGAGCCATTCTCACATCATTAAATGATGTAGTTGACTCCATCAACACATTTCTCATTAATAAATTCCCAGGAATCCCTGTTGTTTACAAGAGCTTTGACAACATGTAGATAATAACTGTGTAATTTACCCAACCAAGTTCCTATACCAGCTTGCTCTTAGTGGTATGACTCCACATGAACTTGTTCTAAAAATAAACAGTCCTGTAATATTGCTCAGAAATATTGATCCAGTAGATGGCTTGTGCAATGGAACAAGTCTTATATGCAAGTTTTTCAAAGGGAATGTGATTGTTTGTTCTATAGTTACTGGTAATCGCCAAGGAGAACTTGTATTCATTCATCGTGTTAATCTCCAACTTCCATCATCAACAAAATATCCTATTCAGTTTGAGCGAATACAATTCCTTCTTAAGCTCAACTTTGCAATGATAGTAAACAAATCTCAAGGCCAGACATTAAGCCAAGTGATAGTTTACCTCCCACAACCATGCTTTTCCCATGGACAACTATATGTTGCACTATCAAGGGCAAAGAAGTCAGATAAAGTGACTGTAATCACACCACAGCCTGCTGAGCACCACACATCACCGGTACTAAAAAACGTTGTAGCGTACGATGTTTTGCAATTATCTGGCATAACATGATCTATCAATTTAAAGGTATAACTCCCTATCTACTAAATCTACATTAATTTTCAGTTAATTATTCTCCATATCTTAACTAATATAATATTAAACATGTTATAAATGCAGGTGATTGCGCTTTATATATCTTTGTAACTAAATGGACAAGGTTAATTGTTCTAAATCTTTGTAACGCCTTTTGGGTTAAGCACACATTTAGATTTTGTTGAAAGTGCAACTATTTACTGCTAATTACTATGGTTATATTATGCACTATATTACTTATGTAAGTTTTGCATGTAATTTTTTTATGCACTATTCAATTTACTTATGCCATCTTAGGTAACTTGAAATTGGTAACACAAAAATAGAAAAACTGTAGGTTTTCCAACCATATAACCCAAAAATTTGTTTTTTATCTTTGCCTTTTGGATTACACCTTTACTTTTACAGTTGTATTGTAGCAAAACCTCATTCATTCTATTATCCATAAAACAAATGTCCTGATTGACTTTTCCTACACACACCTTATTAACTTCTGGTCAATACTATGTTACACCTTAATCTACTAAAAAATTTAGAATTCCTACACAGCAGGTTCCCTGCCATTTTCTTACTTTATGCACTTCATTATCTGCTGGACAATAAAACGCTTCAAAGCATAGTAGAATACATTTGACATTACAAGGAACCTCATGTTAAATCTAAAAGACTCTTCTGCTATTAAAGATGCTAACATTTCACAGTGAACATTTACTTCATACTTTACTCTCTGTCACTTTGATTCTCTGTTGCTGTATGCTAGCAATAACTGCTTGCAAATCCACCTTAACAAGGTACGTTCATAAATGCTTTTGCTCTTCAATTTAACTCCAGCTTTTTCATTTTTTTAAAATGTTTTCAGCTTAACAATGGCATTCTAGATTCTATAGTCAAATGGCAATAGTAGACCGCAGACACTAGCTCTTCCTTACTTGCTAGAACCATTATCATACCATCTTAGCTAAATACCACGTTTTAAATTATATGGCACATAAATATAATTAGTATAGCAATCTGACTTTATTTTCAAGTTGACCTAATACTGAATTTCAACAATGTGCATTGCATAGATTTCTATATTTGAATGTCACATTTTACAAACCATTCACCATACATTATATTGAAATGCTAATTTGTACCCTTTACACTGACTCTTGATAGTACATTGTATTCTCTAATAAAAATGCTATCCTTATAAAAGATGCTCATTCTGGTACACTTAGCTGTAGAGCTTTGTTTTACTAAGGCTACAGATTTATTTTACACTAGACTTGGTTGCTAAGATGCTAATAATTCATGGACTTTACATGCACTGCTTCATTTGTGCTCAATTACAGCTACCTATATTAAGTCTGACTTATTTGAATTACAGCATAATGCCTTGTAATGGTCAGGGTTATCTTTATTTTCAAGTTCACATGGAAAGCATGCCTTTTTATTCAACCTTATACAGAATAGCTTAGTTTTGCATAAAAAGTGGAATAGAATTCACAAAACAGATTAGTTTAACATATATAGTGAAAAAGAAGGAACTAATGATTACCAAACATAAAGACAATAGATAGATTCACACAACACCAAATAGATAGCTACTACTACTTAGAAAATACAACTTATAACAATAATAACTACTAATTAGAAAATCCAAAGACAGAGTATAAAAATTGATAACATAGCAAAAGATAACTGCTGCTACTTTGAAAATCCAACTTATTGGTAATACATAACAACATCAATAATAAAGTTCTATTACTTAAGAACTAACTATAATAAGCTTAGAAACCTAGAACAAGTGTGGATATAAA